TTTTTCTTTTTTCTTTCCAGCTGGGAAAAAAGGCCTCCCCAGACACACCTTTGCCCTGCTTACAAATGGGATTCAGGTCTCTTTGATATATAATCTCCAAAGCCACCCAGTAAATAGCCCTGTGTCTGCCCAACCTGCAGGCCACTCCCCAAAGCAGAGCTGGGGATTCTCTGGGGAGGGGCTGGCCACACCTCTGCCACAGAGAGGCTGCTTCATGTCGGGGCAGGGCTTTGGGCGGGGAAGGCTGTCCCTTACCATGGGAGTGTGAGAGGCCTAAGAGGGCACAGTCTTTCTTGTGCACGTTCTGGCTCCCTAGGTCTCAGAGTCTGGCCCTGAGAGTTCTGTCCCTAGGTCTCAGAAGTCACGGTGCAGGTGGTGATGTCCCCCCTCCTTCATGGGACCATGTCTGCCAATAGCGGCTGGCTCCTACGTGGCTTAGTGTTGGGGGAGCAGGAGAGGCTAGCCATAGCTAGCTCTGGCTTACCCAGGGCTTGGTTGATTCCATGATGCTTTGAAAGAGCCACAAGGAATCCATAGAAGGTCAGTCTCTGAACGTTGCTTAATACCTCTTTGACAAGTGCTGGGGGTGGACAGCTAGAAGGGAGAATACAGATACGAGATTCAAAGACCAGCAAGTCTGACATCTTTCCATCCATACTTTAAGGCTTAGGAGGATGCCCAAAGCTGGGACTGAGGGACCCTGTGTTCCCTGGGGGTCCTAAAACCCTGGAGGAACATGGCAGATCTCTAGAGCAAGGCCTTGACTGTGGACAGAAAGGGCTGGCATGTTGCCTAACTGGTGCTTTCACTAGGGGAGTGGGAGGGAGGGAACAGGGAAGAGGCAATGGATGGCAACCACATCTTGGAGGAGACCACAAACTGGCTGCTCTGTCTCTAAGGAGACTTTGTGCTACACGGGACAGCTTAACCCTCCCTCTCTGCAGAGTGAATTCTTTGTACAGTGAATGTTTTCCCCTTCTCTCTACAAAGCTAAGGCCAATCTATCTCCTGGCAAGGAGAAGGGGCCCAAGCTGGTCATCTACAGCTTGGAAGTGGCAGTGATCTTCCCTAAGTGAGCCACCTGGGATGTTGTTTGGTCAACAGCCTGGTCTGGGGCGGATGGCACTGTCCTCATTTATATATGACCATCAAGGGCTCTAGAAGCCCCGGATCCATCAGAACATCTGCTAGAGATCTGTTCCAGAGCCAGCAGCCCACAGTCCCTGGGGCTGAGGTGGGGGGTCTACGTACCCATTTCTTACCTGTACTTGTGCCGGTCACACAAGTTCTCCAGGCACTGGTAGAACAGTGATGCCTCCACTCCCTCCAACATACTAGCCTCGCCCAAGGTAGGTCGCTGGCGGTGTTGCCCACTGGATGATGTTGGCACAATCACTGTGTTGGGGTTCTTGCCTGCCAGCAGGTCCTGATAGATGGCAGCCACACTCTCCAGGAATTCTGAGTACCATGATTGGGGGGGAGGGGGTGGGCAGGTCAGGCAAGGAGGACACACTTCGTCCCTTCACTGGATCCTTCCTTTCCTGTTAACTCAGCTCCTCCCCAGCCTTGGTGCTCAGTGCTTGGTGGCTGGGAGCAGGAGCCCTCAACCTTGTGTGACCACCGCACTCATGAGCAATGATATGAACGTGTGTTTCAGCTCAGTGTCCCTCCTCCGGGGACTTGTTCCTAGACCAAGTAGAGGCCCTATTACATACTTTCAGAGCACCCTGTGCTTCTTTGTAGCGCTTTTCCAACCATGAATTTTCTGAATAATTATTTGTTTGCTCTGCCTTCCAGCTGGAGCGGAAGATCCATGTATAAAGGTAGGGATTGTGCCTTGTCAGCCTTCCTGCCCCAGCACCTAACACAGTGCTGGGCACATATTAAATTCTATACATACTTTTTTTTTTTTTTTTAATGTTTCTTTATTTTTGAGAGAGAGAGAGAGAGCATGACCGTGAGCGCATGAGCAGGGGGAGGGGCAGAGAGAGAGGGAGACATAGAATCTGAAGCAGGCTCCAGGCCCGAGCTGTCAGCACAGAGCCCGATGTGGGGCTTGAACTCACAAGCGTGAGATCATGACCTGAGCCGTAGTCGGAAGCTCAACTGACTGAGCCACCCAGACGCCCTACACGTACTCTTTAAAGAGCTAACATGTGCACACTTCCACTGGTGAGCCCCATCTCCCTTGCGAGGCCGCTTGCTTCTCTGACTCCGGAAAGCATGGCGGAATACCAGGGTGGAAAAGAACGCCACAAGCTGCTCATTTGTTACACATTTGGAAGTGTTTGCAAATGTTAGGAGTCGAGCCAGTGTTAGTAACCAGTGACTTGTGGCCCATTTCACCGCTGACTGGCACACACTGCTGCTGGCCGGCCCTGGGGCATTGTGAGAAGGCCCGGAAGGATCTCCCAGACACAGCTCCTCCTTCTCCAGGGCCCAGGAGCTTCAGGGAAATGGGAAATAGATGCCTGCAGCTGTTAAGAGCAGGTGGCAAGACCCCAGGCTCCAGCCCCTGCTGGTTCAGGCCCTTGGGCTGCCATCAAGAAAACAGAATGTGGCGCCTGAGAGAGGCCAGGGCTGGCTGGGGCCACCGGTTGGCAGGGAGGCCATGTCCAGGCTCCAAGGACAGCCTTCTGTTTACTGGAAGAGCCCGTTTGAAACAAGTTTGTTTACGGACACAGTCAGCAATTTTTGAACCCGACACTCCATTAGATGTCGTTGTGTGCTCTGTGGGAGCTGGTGTCCGTTTGTATTTATTCATCTACTACACCTGATTCCAGAAAGGATTTAAAGGCACAGCTGGTGTGTATGGGGAGCAGAACGGGCATGTGAGTGAGACAGGACTGGTGTCTGCTTATTAAAAGCTGTGTGGGTGGGAGGATGTGTGCCCACACACGGGAGTCGGGGCCAAGGGAGATCACTGCCCCCTGGTGGCAGTGATACAGCACAGCGCCTAAGAGGACCGGCTCTGGAATGGGCCCTCCGTTCGGGTCTGGGCTCCACCACTCACTAGCTCTGAGACTTTGGCTCCTCACCTCTAAGCTTATCTCTGACAGGACCCATCTCTTAGGGCTGTCATAAGGATTAAAGTCAGTGCTCTGCCTGGCACATGGTAAGTTCTCGATAAATGGTGAATCTGTTGCGTACTGTTACAGTAGCGTGCATTGTTCTAGTCATTGCTATTATCACCCAGATGGACTTGCCGCACTGCTGACTGCAAACACGGTGGTCTTCGTGACTTGAGGAGGCGGAGAGAGTAGGCTCCACAGACTGAATCTTGTGACCACCTGTGGGAACTAGACATCCTGCCCGGGCCCCATGGCGAAGCATGCCTCCACCGGAGGGAGTGGGGGAGGGAAATGTGTGTGCCAGGCACCAGATGGAAAGGGTACCAGGGCAGGACAGGCAGATGTGGCCCTGGCAGGAGCCACATGGGGCCCTGGAAAGCTCTCACCTGAGTAGTAAAACTGGATCTGGAAGGCAAAAAGGAAATCTGAAAAAGACATCAAGCAGTCCATGGCGTCATCCATGAGCACAATCCTGAGGGGGGAAAGAGAGAGAAGATGTGAGAGAATGTGTCTGGGGGTGGGGATGGAGAGCACGTCAGTGAGCTCCTTCTGGGGCTACAGTCTTTCTTGGGGCAGCAAGACACTCGGGAAAGGTCCCCAAAGCCAGCTCCTCCCAGTCACCTCACTTCTCCATCACTTGGGCTCTGCCACCAAGCTGAACTGAGCACACGACCAAGGACAGGCTCCCGGGTCAGTCTCCGTGGCACCAGCTAGCGGATGGAGCATGGGGAGGAAGGAGGCGGGGGGCAGCAAGGAGAGGGGCAACTGTAATACAGCCAAGATTTCTTTTCATATACTTAAGCAGTAAATCCTTTCATCCAGCAGTGAGGACCATTTAGTTCAGAATAAATACAACTGGGCAGAAAAGGCAAAAAGAACAGCCAGGAAGCTTAAAGGGGTCTTGGCAAGTGGCACTGAGATTTAATAAGCTTCCAAGGGCCTAAGCGACTACAGGCACCTCCGTCCTGGGACACAGAAGGCAGACAAGGGAAGAGGGTAGAGAGCTACCGGGGCCTCTGCACTTGAGAGGGTCAAAGAACACACCCCGTCTTGTGACGCCGTGGCGGCCATGCCTCTCCTTGCTCTCTGCTCCCACAAGCGGACCACCCCCTGGGTTCTCATCTCCAGGCCCTCCCACCTCATAGGAAGAAAACCATCTGACTGATCAGACCATGGCCGTGTCCATACCGTGCTCAGGGTCTCATCCAGGAGGGCGCAGGAAGGGAAGGAAATTAGCACTTGCTGGGCTCTATCCATGTGCCAGGCAGGGTGCCAAAGCTATCTGCTGAAGGGGAGAGGGGCCCCCAACCTGCTTCTGACTGGCCCGAGTGGCCTTCTCTTTCCTTTTTTACAAAACTGTTTTATTCTGCTCTCTTGTGTATTTTTGTTAATCTTTACCTCCTTGTGTCAGAGGATCCCCAAACTGGCACCTGGATCAGCTCCAGAGACAGCCAGCCAGCACTGCTCACCTCTG